TGTTTGAATGAGTATACGAATGAAAGTGAAAATTTGACTGGAAAGAAAATAAAGATTTTACGATGTGATAATGGGAAAGAATATTTGAACGGTAAAGTCTACAGATTTGCAAAAGAATGGGGTATTACCCCGGTAGTGTTACCCTGATAAAATTGATGAAAGCTCTGAAAATGACTCAATAGATGAAACTTTTGAAAGTACAAATGAAAGTATGGATGATAGTGTGAATAAAGATGAATCTGAGTTACCTAGATCTCACAGAGCCAAAAATCCTCCAAAGAAATTTGATGATTATTATGTATATAATAGTAGTATTTTTGTAAATATGTGTAGAACTGATATATCGCATACATTTGAGGAGGCGATAAATTCTAATGAAAGTAAGTATTGGAAAACAGCTATGAACAAAAAAAATGATAGTTTAAATAAAAATAAAACTTTTAAATTGGTTAAAAATGACAAACAAAAATCTGGATGTTAAATGGGTTTATACTAAAAAGTCTGATAATACTTTTGATAGGAAAAGGTAAACTGTATAATACACCTATGGAAGTAAATTTAAAAACTGATAAATCTGATCATTGTGAAAGAAATATTAAATATAGAAATTTAATTGGTGCTCTATTATACATAAGTTCGGCAACAAGGCCTGATATAAGTTTCAGCGTAAATTGTCTGAGTAGATTTCAAAATTGCTACAATGAAACGCACTTTAAATATTCTTTACGAATTTTGAAATATTGATTGTTATGTGGTTGCCGATTGGGCAGGTGATCATTTAGATAGAAAATCTACTAGATCTATTTAGATAGAAAAACTGGTTTTGTAATAAGATTGTTTGGTAATGTAATTTATTGGAAATCTAAAAAACAAAAAAGCGTTACAAAAGCTTCAGTCACAAAAAATAGCACTTGTAGCCTACGCTTTCTTTTTAGCACGCAAAAATACTGGCAGGTCGACCCTGTTTTGATTTTTTAACGCACGAGGATTTAAAGATCTATAAAGCATCAACGGTTTAATTGCACAATTTCCAGATACATTAGAACAAAGCGCTAGAATTAGATTTCGCTTCTAGAAATGAATGTTTTTTGGCATCCTCTTTCAAAACATAGCAGTGTCCTCTGTATTAAATACTTGCTCAGGTGTATATCCGCCACCAGCTACCAGGTCCGCAAAGTCTTTTGGATATCTTTCTGCTGCAACAGTGTCTGCAGATACAGCTTCTCCAACGATTTTAATGCTATGCATATGCTTTAGACGCTTGAAATCCTCTATGTACATTCACCACCACCACTACCACCAGGTTCTTTAAAATGTGTGTAAAGACGCTTTGCCTTCTTTCGGACCATTGGACCACTCAACTTTTTGGCTGCGCACCCTTTTTGGCTGCGGTCTTCGATCCATAATGACAACGACACTTCCATTTCTTCTATTGCTTGATCACGAACAATTTTCGCCGACAGTAAAGTTGATGCTACAGACGACATTATTTTATTTTTGGATTTTTTTATCGATCGTACAGTTGATTCGTTGACATTGAATAGACGTGATATGGATGCAAACGACTCTCCAAGGCGTAAACGATCAAATATTTCTATCTTCACTTTAAGCGGAAACATTGATTTTTTTCGCATTGAATATTGTTTTTAATTTGTTTTAATCGACATTATAAATTAGGAAAATAGCGGAAGAGACGTTTTACTCGATACCAATTTTTGTAACGAATGGATTAGTAAAACATTAAACCAAGCAGTGAGGCTCTTACCAAAGGACGGAACGTTCAATTGTGGCAGAATTTAATACTTTATTTTTATATTTAATTTATATTAAATTAAATTAAATTATATTAAATTATTATTATTATTATTATCCCAGATTTAGCCATACGGCTCACACTCCCTCTAAGGGGAAAATTCACTCATCCCAGATACCTACGGTATCAAAAGGATTGAGCTCTGGTGGGACTCTTTCCATGTTATCGAGCCCTAGGTGACTTGGTATGTTGGAGTATCTCCCAGAAATTTTCGTACACATCTGGACGTCGCGAGGAGTACAGCTTTCTGCATGGCCTTATAAAGATGTTCATTTAGACCCAGCTGTTTTATGTTCACTAGGAGGTTTTTGGGAATAACACCAGTAGTAGATAGAACAATAGGTAGTGTCTGGGTACTTTCCATTCTCCATTGTCTCCTGATTTGTATTTCTAGATCTCTGTACTTGGCGATCTTTTCGTTGTATTTAACAACTAAATTATTGGTGTTGGGTATCGCCACATCAATAAGTGTTGTTTGTCTAGTAAGTTTATTAACTAGTATGAGATCTGGTCTATTATGGGCCACTGGTTGGTCTGTAAGCACAGTGCGGTCCCAGTATAGCTTGTAGTTGTCATTTTCAAGCGTTCTATCAGGAGCGTATTGATAATAAGGAAGATGGTCGGTATGGAGAAGTCCCAGTTTGTCAGCTAGTTCTTGGTGAATAATCTTTCCTACTGAGTCATGGCGTTCTTTATAATCAGTACCGACAAATACCTGGCAGCCACCGGTAAGATGTTGGATGGTTTCTTGGGCTTGGCATCCATATCGGCATTTGTCATTTTGGACTTGAGGATCTTTAACAATATATTTCAGGTAATTTTTAGTTGGAATAACCTGATCCTGAATGGCAAGTAGGAAACCCTCAGTCTCGGGAAACATCTTTCCTGAAGTCAACCAATAGTTCGACGCTGTATTGTCGACATATTCTTGGTTGATCTCATTGAGATGTCGCCCATGCAGAGGTTTACTCATCCAGGTGCGCATTTTTTCTTGCTGAGTCAGGTGGTTTATGCGCATTTCTTGTTCCCTCAGTTTAAGCGGCGTCGTATCATCTACTGCGCAAATTGCTCGATGTAAAGTAGATGTCTCTGCCTGTACCTGAAAATAAAGTCTTAGATTAGCAATTTGTTTATCTAATTGCTCACCTATATCCATAAGTCCTCTTCCCCCTTGATACCGCGGCAATGTTGTTCTCTCTACTGCACTACATGGATGATGTTTTTGCGCCTTTGTGAGAAGTGTTCTTACTTTCCGCTGAAGACCCTCTATATCCGTTTTTGACCACTTTATAATACCAAATGAGTAGCTCAGCGCAGAACAGGCGTACGTAAATGCCTTAAACAAATTTTTACTATTAAGATATGACCGATTTAGTTGTCTTACTCTTCGCACGAACTCCGAAGTTAGTTCCGTTTTCATTTGTTTATGGTCAATTTTACGTGCCTGTTTTACTCCGAGATATTTGTACATATCATTTTCACCCATTGCCTGGATGTTTTGGCCATCTTGCATATCGAAACCTCCAGGCTGAACCTTTCCTCTGACTATATTTAGTATACGGCACTTGTCTAGTCCAAAATGCATACTGATGTCATTTGAGAAATTTTCTACAGTTTTTAGCATCTCATCTAGGTGATTTCGGGTGGAAGCCATTAATTTTAAATCATCCATATACAACAGATGATTAAGCTTCGCTACAACGGTGTTGTTATTTTTGATGCTAAATCCTGAGTCAGTAGAGTTCAGCAGCTGAGATAGTGGGTTCATCGCTAGGCAGAACCAAAGTGGACTCAACGAGTCCCCTTGGAAAAGGCCCCGGTTAATAGGGATATCTTCAGTTTCGATATTAATTTCACCAGGTATTTGAAGGTGAATTTTAGTCTTCCACTCTGCCATTATATGCTTCAAAAAGGTCACGAGATTATCATCGACTTTATATATTTTCAATATATCTATAAGCCATTCATGCGGCACTGAATCAAAAGCCTTCTTGTAGTCAATGAAGGCAGTAAAAAGGTTTCTTTTTTTGGTGTATGCCTGGTTAGAAATGACTGAGTCGATAATAAGTTGTTCTTTGCACCCCATGGAGCCCTTAGCGCATCCTTTCTGTTGGGGCTCTATGATATTGTTCAGAGCACAGTGTTGGTAGGTAGGCACATTATTATTATTATTATTATTAAAATTATATTAAATTTATATTTAATACTTTTGAGTTTATTTTACCTAAACATTCTGTTTGTTCACATTCTACACCTAACCTAACCTACCGCGGCGAAAATGGCTTACTTCAAAGGAACCGCCGAACCAAACAAATAATGTCACTTTGATTTTTTTATTCGTCGACTTGCTGACCCGTTTACAAAGAATACCGAATGCTTTTTATTTATGTATATACCTTATATGTAACGATGTACCGATTCGATCCGCGAATAAAGAGGCAGCGAATGTAGGAACTTTTATCGCATTTTTTTCAATCCCCTAATAGTGAAAACGGGAATATAGGACGCGCGAGTAAGGAGCATTTACTGTAATATAATTTTATTATTAAATGTATAAAATATTAATTTGACCTATATGTGTAGAGTTCTTTATTGATTGAATGTAAAACAATGGCATCAACTAGTTTATTATTTAATATTATTTTATGGACCACTGTTTATTTTCGAAGATTTATGTTACATAAATCATGGCACACGCATTTTATTATACAGATATTACTATATTACTAAAGTTGGGACAGAGTCCACCGACATATATATGGCGTCGTCTACGAAAATGTAGGAGACGATCATGAGGTTATTATTAATTGGACATTACATACATAGGCGTACTGAACAGATTCGAGTGTTTGTAGCATGTGTATGTTGCAATGGAAAAATAAATAAAAAAAAAATATCGAGCCTCCGAGATGAACTCAAAAACTTGCGATGGCAATGACAAAGTGTTATTACACACCTTACGCTTCATTTATTTTATCGTCTGAGTTTCTAATTTATCATACCTCTGGTGCTTTACGATAAGGCGACAAACTTTGAATGCATGCAATTTTTTTTAAATTCAAAAATAAATATAAAATACTATATTACTTTAAAAAATAATTTCTTACGGGGAAATTTTACGTCAGATCAAAAAAAAATTAAAATGAAGTATAACGCCCAATCAGACATAAAAATCAAGGCAACTTACCTGTGCAAAGCACTATCAGTACCAATGGTCATGTCAGTTCCACAGAAATCATTATCTATAGATCCAACTAAACCGACGATCTGTAAGTTTTTGTTTTTTTCCCGAAGTTCCGGAGTGATCTGGCCGCTGGAAAGTAGCTCGTCCAATAAGCTGCTCCATTCTTGACGGAATAAATCGGCTCCAGTTAAACTACCGTCACCTCCGATTACAACGAGATGGTTGATGCCGCGATCTACCAGATTTTTGGCAGCTTTCAAACGACCTGGTCGCTCTCTACAATGAAAATTATTTTTAGATGGGTAAGTTAATGCAGCTGCATTAAAAATAAGTGTAAAACTATAATATTACTTTTACGAAACGAAATATGGAAACTGCTATACAGTTAAAACTTCCTTTTAAAGTAAAATGATTTCTTTTTTGTCAAAATATTGTCAAAAGACAATATTTTGTCTTTTGAGAAGATTATAAATTTCAAAGGGATATCGTACTACACTGTGACCTAAAATATTATTTGTGTATACCGTATATCTTTAGATATACAGCATTCTATTTTTAAATCTAAATAATATAAAGTTTGTGAGATATAATTTCACCCACAATTTGAAAAAAATTGTTTGAAAGGGATCCCGATGGAATATATCGTCGAATATCATCGTCAAAATGTCCACTACATCGTCACTATGTGGAGCCCGTTCGAAATATCCAATTTTCCATGACTATGGCGCATAACTCATGCTGAATTTGACCGGTGACATGGGTAATATTCTTTATGAGGACCGATTCGTTTGTAGCTTATTCACATAATCCTGTGACTTAAGAAAACCCCACCATAAAGAGCCCATTGAGGTCAAATAGTACGATCTTGGTGACTAGTTCATGTCACGTCCACGTGAGATGACCATGCCTTCAAATCGTTCGTGATTCCTCTTCTTCCTTTTATATAGACATGACTCTGTCTGTTTTTCAATGTGCCTCCAGTAAGTTGTCGTTCCATAGTTTTCGTGATCTTCATACTGATCGTCTTCCTATTGGGGAACCGTCCCTTGCAGTCTTTACTACTCTATTTGTTGTCATTCGGCTTATATGATCGTTCCATTCTACTCTTCTATTTCTTACCCAGTTCTTGATGTTCTCCACCTTCCATCTACGTCGTATATCTGCACTTCTAGCTCTGTGCCATAGTGTCTTACCATCAAGTGTTTTCATCCCTGCTATTTCTAACATCCTTTTGTCCTCTCTGAATCCGCCGCGTATGTCATTATTGGTGTGATGATTGTTTTGTAAATTCTGCTTTTCGTTTCTTTTCCGATATTGTTATTCTCCATATTGTTTCATTTAGGCAGCCTGCGGCTCTGTTTGCTCTATTCAGTTGATCTTCCACTTCGGTTTCGAGCTTTCCGTAGCTAGATAATGTGATGCCTAGATATTTAAACTCCATCACTTGTTCTATTATCTGACCTTCCAGCTTCAATTTACATATTAGTAAATTTGCTGTTGTAACCATGCATTTTGTCTTTTTTAAAATTTTTGGCGGTTATATTAAATTGGTGCAGTATATGTGGTAAATCATCTTCACTTTGAGAGCGTAGTATTGCGTCGTCTGCATAGCATGTAGGTGGTTCATTATCGTCACCTTTAGCAAATAGGTATCGAAAGTATGTAACGGGTCCGTTACTTAAATAACCACTTACCTTTTTGTCACTGGAATCTTTTAATTTAATTATAAATTAAATTCATCTTTGAAATATTCTTAAACCAAAAATTTAAATAACTCCAGTAAATTTTATTTTCTAAAGTTGGCATTAAATCCCGCCCTCTGTGTAAGATTCGGAAAGTACATCATCTTGACAGCTGTAGCACCGTCAGAAAGGCACTTTGTTCCCGAATATCTGTGAATTATGTGAAATATCTCACTTTATTTCATTAATACCTAAATACATTACAAGTATTAGATTTTATAATTATCTCAAATTTTATTTCTTTCCAAAGATGAAAACAAACAATTATCTATTTCAATTTCATACCGTTTAAACCGGCTAATATTTCTTTTTTTTTTCTATTCTATAAGATATACAGACCATGCTTTCCGTAAAACCATCTACTTAATTTATCCTATAAAAACATTGTCATACTATACCAAGGTCATTATTTACTGAAAAACCATTATGGTTTTTATTTCAATTTAAGGCCACCTGTTGACCTTTCTTGTAGTGCTTTTCAAGGCTAATAAACCTTGTTTTTTTTTCTACCTTTTTGTATCTGCAAAGTACATGAAGTAACACAACTGTTCCCTTTTTTTTAGCCTACTCCAGAAATCCAGTGACAAGTCAGGAAAGAAACCTTTCAGTTTGTTTTATTGGGTTATATTTATTGGGACAAAGGGGAAGAGAATTTTAAGTTTACGGATTTAAGGAGAATTTGATGGACTTGGTTTAAAAGTACCTCTATATATAGAATCCAGGTTTGGAGTAACTTTACCCACCTGCCCTAGTTCTTCACCGGATCATCTCCAGGGAAACCTACAGAAACCGGCAGGAAGAACTTATTTTTATTTTTTTTTATTTCCTATTCAAATATTTTTAATAACTTTCTACATCCTCTTCAAGGTTTAACTTTTGTTTCACTTTAATTTCAATATATATCATTAATAATAATTACATTCACTTTTTCATAAAATATTAATCATTGTAACTTAATTTAATTATTTATTGCCTACCAAGAGATGAGGTTTTAACTCTCCCTTGAATCTCTCTTTGTTAGGTTATCGTGTGCACACATATCCGGAGAGTTTCATTTGAAAATTTAAACATTTATTAAACGAAAACTAAATTATTAGTGAGTAGTATTTTTATATTTATTATTTATACATAATTATTGAGTATAACCTTTGTCAGAATTTAAAATTAAGAGGTATATTAGGGGGGAAATTATTTTATAATTATATTCAGGGATTTTACTGTAAATATAAATAAGTTAATTGTACATAAGAGGTGGTGGGTCATAGATAAGCATTTAACATAGTCTGTACATAAGTTTTGGTAATTATTAAAGTTGTGGTTAAAATTTTAATATTTCAATTAGTACCCAACTTTTTATATTTCAGCAATACAAGATATCTCGGAAGAAAACATTTAACTTCCTGGCGCCCAAACATTCAGTAGAGCAACTTTATCTTTCATCTGTTTATTTCTTGGTAGTTTCTAGTCATTAATTCTTATATCTTACGGTCTCTGTAGGGCATGCAAATTGGCCGAATCCCTCTTTGAGTGTCAAGTGGTCATTCTTCTGCATAGTCGCTAGCCAGCATTAATTTTATTATATTTTAAAATTCATATTTACCCTTTATTTCTTTTACATAATTTATTTCTATCTAATCCCTTCCATCTTCTGTTATTCCACATATTAGTCCGTTGGTGTATCAAGGTACATTTTAGAGTTTACCCTATTGCTACACTGTACATTTTTGCTACACATTCCTCATTTTTGTTACATTTCCCTACTCTCACATTTCCTGTTACATTGTTTCACCAGAAACAAATCCCATTCTTGTTATATTGGCGCTCAGCAAATTTCTTGTTATATTGGCGCCCAACGTGGGGCCTATTCTCAGTTCAGACCGTATATTCCGTAGTATATTTCTCTTTGCAAAATATTCTTTATTATTTCTAATTTGTTCCTGTTGCTCTTTGTTCATTTTTTTAACTTCTTTATTTATTTATCTTTTCTTATTAGATTTACATTTATAGGTATACTTGTATTGCTGTAGTTTACTTACATTCATATTTAAACCCTCACCTTTTTAATCTCATTGTGTACAGTTAACAACCTATCTTACTATTATTGAACTATAAAAATTTAATAATTTAGATATTACTATTTATATATATATATATATATATATATATATATATATATATATATATATATATATATATATATATATATATATATATATAATATTGGTGGGTTTTTATATTCAATTATTTATTAACCATATACTTGTTGAAACCATTGTGTGTTGCTTCAAGGATTGTGTTATATTTGCTTAACTTTACTTAACCAGTTTGAAATTTTTGTCAATAACTTTAGATTATTCTTGGATTGATTTTGTGGTGTGTTGGTACATATTTATTTATATTTTTTTTTTTTCGAAAACTTTATATTACTCTTCGATTGATTTTGTGGAGTGTGAGTATATTATTTCCTTGTCTATTCTATCTATTCATCTATTTTTTTTTTCACAATGTCTGCATTTAAGGTAGAACACCTATTAGTAAAAGAACTAGATTATGAATTGAGAATTAGGGAGATCCCCATTGATGAATCTTCCAATGTGGATTTAAAACGCAAAATATTGCGTGGAGCTTAAAGGCAAGAAGAAGGAAACAGAAGCTTTCGACAAATTTCTGCCACAAGTATTCCTTTTCTAGAACAGCAAGAAGAGATTGATGAGACTATGGATGATAGCTAGCTAGCAAGATAGCCTATATTCCAGGCTGATATCACGTCTAGCTCATGTCTCAGGCCGTGTTCATTTATTGTCGTGTTCGAATGAGGAGCAGCAAACTTATAAACGCTCAATTTCAATCCGAATTCTTAGCCTAGAGGGTGAACTTGATTCACGAGTAAATCCAATTGCTACTCCAACTCCTATTTCTTCTGTCCAAGCAGCTAACTCATTTCTACACCCCAAACCTATTCAGGTACATAAATGGGGCATTACGTTTTCTGGTGAAGGTCATTATGACCAAGTAATTTCTTTTTTGGATAGGGTGGAATGTCTTCGTATATCGAGAGGAGTAAGTGAAGATGATCTTTTTGCAGCTTCCGCTGAACTGTTTACAGGCGCAGCTTTTACGTGGTTTAGAAACAACCGCAATAATTTTTCTAATTGGTCTGATTTGGCTCAGAAACTTAATTCTGATTTTCTTCCATATTCTTTTCAAGATGACCTTCTAGACCAAATCAAAAATCGTAAACAGAAGCCAGACGAGTCTGTTACGATGTTCATTAATACTATTTTAGGTATGTGTAGTCGCCTTGAAACACCTCTGACAGATTCTGCAAAGATTAAGATCATCCTTAAATGTCTATTGCCATTCTATCATCAGCAGTTGGCCCTTGTAGAGATCACCAGTATAGCTGATATTACGGAGAAGTGTAAACGTTTAGAAGAAACTTTATCTTGGTCTTCTCACCTTCCTTCCACTTCTCAACCCTCTTCTTTTAACTCTTCACGTCACCTAGATACTTCCAAACACCGTTCTTGGCAA